AGCCAAAAGATAGCAACCAAAACCGGCGCTCGAATATGCGTGGTTAATGGTTGTTCAAACTGAAAACTGGTTCCTGCTTTCCTGTTGGTTGACTGTAGCCTGTCTTTGTCTTGGGGACCGACCACCTTGGTTGGCTTATTGTGTTGCTCTCCTCGTGCTCCTCGTTGGACTGGTGCTGGTCAAATTATTTTTCCTTTCGATTTCAACCTTGTTGTTGTTCACTATTCCGTGCGTTAACGTATTGTTGCATCGTTACAGAACCACGCCAAAAGGCAACAATCTGAGAAGTTCCAACTATCTTCTGATATTGCTACTGACTTCGGGGTGCGTATAATCGATTAAAGACTAGCAAGAAATCAGATATACGAATCGCGTAGCAGCACAACGTACAAAACATAACCGGAACAGAGAGAGAGAAGTCTCGTGTATGTGTCTGTGTGCTAGAAAAATACACGACTGATTTATTTACAAAATGACAAAGAAGAGAAAAGAACAGATCGCGAAAAGAGTGTTAAATTAGTTTGGTTGTCGTGTGAGCTGTTTCCATTGCTCGGTGGGGATGCTGTTCAAGAGAGAGAGCGGGGGAGAGAGATTGATACGAAACGTGCATTCTCATCGATAGTAGGGTGGACGAGCCACATGGATGCCACGGTCGGCCAGAGAGGCGATCAAATCGTCCAGAGTCAATGTGGCTCTTCGATCCGGTGGGGTGTGACGTGAACCAGGATTTTGGGCCGGAGTTCGACCAGCTAAAACGAAAACAAACGTATCACGACCGGATTGAGTTCCGGATGATCGAGTTCGACATTGAACAAAATGGGAATAAAAAAGGGATAAAATAAAGTTTCACTCTAGCTACACGTGTAACTGGATTTCGATTCCGAACTGCGATCAGGGTGAATAGGGACCCTCATACCGTTTGGGAATTAGACTGAGTTATTTTCGAATAAGCCCCAAATGCAATGTCTAAGCACAACGAGGGATTGCTCAAACAGAATACACGTTTATCCACGTGTCCCAAAATCGCACGGATAACACTCACAGACTCTATCTAGTTGCACGCTCGAGCTGAAGCATGACCTGTGGGTCTCATTGCAACCAACAGATTTTCAAGTCAAGCAGTCCCAGTGTACCTTCTGAACAATTCACCGCAAAAAACCACTATTTCATCACGAGCTAAAGAGCTATTCACGTACAGCATTAACTGAGACTAACAGCTCCCCACCATCGACAAAGTATGATAGAGGCCGTAATGAATTGTCATTGGTGGATATTGCGGCTCGGCTGGGGAGGATGACTAGTGGTAAAATGCCAAGGATACTTGGGTATCGCCACCTTGAAGATATTGACCGAGCGTGATGAATTTGGCAATCCTGAGGGCAAGCTCAATTATGATTGATCCCAATGGATAATGAAAAGTGTTCAACTAGCAGAGAGTGGATGCGCTGATAGATGAATGGCAGATGTGGCCTCGATACTGACGCACGTCTAGAATAGCAGTCACATGCGGCATTTGTCCATTAACATTTGACCACTTGCACAATCCACAGGAGCGTATGTACATACATTTTAGCATGTGACCTTAATACCATTGGAAACAACTGGGATCTATTGGTAACCAGTGATAAGAATCAATAATTGTACTGTCTTATGCGGTGGTGTAAAATTTCCAAAAAAGAACCGCGCTCCTCGTCGGACTTACGTGTGTTCGGTAAGGGAGATGCTCCCGATTGTGGGGTGCTGGGTGTTGCGGAACCGGGAGTACCACCGACCGTTCCGGACGAGGTAGTTGCGTTGGCAGATCCCGTGTTCGTGTGACTTGTACCGTTCAACAGCCCGGAAGATAGACCATTCGATATACGCCAATGACCCATCGCATCAGCAATCACATCAGTGAGGAACTTTTGGCCCGCCAAGCTGACTAACCGAGCAAGTCGAACATCGCTCTGATCAAACTGCACACCGACACCCTCGAGGATGGCAATCGATAAACGGTCTGGGATCTGAAGTGGGTGTGTCACGCAGTCGGATAGGATGAGAATTGGACAATCCGTAATCGGTCGGAGGAAGAGAGGAGTCGTAGGATAAAGGTGACAGAATATGACCGGACCAAATTTCAACACGAAACCAAAACAAACTACACCCGGCATTGGTCTAATTGCACTCAAGCAATTGCCTTGAATAATCCAATGGCCAGAATACTATGATGCACCCGATACAAATAATTTTGTGATCAGATTCGAAAAATGACCCAAAATTAGTGAATGGACTGTAATCCGGTGAAGCACAAATTCTACTGCTACCAACACCACTGCTGCTGGATGTGAAAGATAACAACTTGGTCTATGAATGGTTACACCCCTATACTGTATGTAAGGTTAAGTCAAGTCATGTCAAGAGTGGACTTTATTCATCCTATGCTGAAATTCTACAAATCTCAATGCAGCGGAATTCGAGAAGTAGGATCCTCGGGCATCGAATACTGCATCAAGCTTAACGCCTGCGTGGTGCTCTGCAGAAAATATTCAAGGAGGCTTGCCTCAGGAGACATCCATTCAAAGTGTTGCTTCAAAACAGACAGCTAAACTGCAGTTTAAGCGTCAACCTTTCAGTATAAGAATGTGCACTACCTGAAACTCTCCTCCATACCACGCTGTTTGTGCTCCAACTATCGATTTGAGCAATTCGCGGCTTAAAGAAGCATTGAAACACCAAACTGCGCAGCATCAATGAGTGAACGTGATAATTTGTTGTATCCATTGGATTAACATTCGAATCCGGTGTGTGTACAGATTCTGATGAGGATTCAATTAGCTTCAGCTTTCATGATCATCATACAGCGAAATACAGTCAAGTGGATCACGGCCAAACTGGCAGTGCGTATAAAGTTGGTGGTAATAAATAAGGTGGACATGGATTGTAGTTAAGTTTGAGAAAGAGGGACAAAAGTGAACCTCTATGGTTAACACAGAGGGCATACAGTTCAACTGTATGCGCATACCCGATCAAATATGCTGGCCTGATAAGAAGTAAGAACAAGTAGGCCATTCGCGTTGGTTCGTTGCCATACCCTTCAGTGTTTCCAACCAAGCTGTTGCGGAGTCTTCCGAACCCCAACCTCGAAGCCGCGAGACACCTACGCTACCTAGTAGCTCTCTGCTTTTCTTCATTACTTAGTGCTCATTTAGTGCGTTCTCCATTATTTAATCTATGACGAAACTGAACAGGAATGGCGAAATAGAGCACCCTTGACGAAAAGCACTGCCAGTGACGAACGACCTACTTAATTCGTTATACATCAGAGGTATATGAGTAAATGAATTCAGTAAGTCAACGTTCTTCTGGGGCATTCCATCGCAAATACTCATTATAGTTTCGCGGTCAACTGAATTGAAAGCTTCTTTCAGGTCAAGAAACTTTACGGTTGTTCGTTGACGGTACTTGTAACGCAACCCAAAAGGCTGAGGCAACGTAAACATTTGGATCAATACATCCACCACCAGGCCGAAATTCGGGTTGTTGTTCTCTCTTAAAGAAGTCAGATGTCGAAGTATGACAGAGGCCAACACTTTGGCGAGGAGATTGGGATCAAACTTATGGGCGGGTGGCTTTTGCAGTCATTCCTTCTAGTAAAAGGAAACGATCAGTGACTCGCCCAAAATGAAGGAATGCGCTCTTGCATCCAACTTTTGTGCAGTAAGTTAGTAATCGAGCTTATGAGGTCATCACTCTCATTTCGAAAAGTTTAGAAGGAAGCCGTTCGGTCCTGCTGCTTTTTCTCTGTTCACAGTTTGAATGCAAGATCAGAATTCAGCTTTTGCTGGATGGCATGACACTATCCACGAAGGTTCGGTTTCAGATGAGGTAATCTGGCTGGCGCCAATCCAGCTGAGCTGTTCGCTGAAGTATTCCACCTATCGATCAAGCCGTTGTTTCTTGTTGTAAATACCTTACCCGCTTTTATCGCAAACCGTTCCACTAACCGGGGTTTGTCCACCTACCGTATTACGTATCAGTTGGAACAATCTTTGACTATTCCCTGATGCAGCTGCTACTTCCATCAAACTAGCTATTGATGCCCACCAGTTCTTCTTGAGGCTGTTCATGACATGATGTTGCAGACGACAACTAATTCTATTTTGATCCTGGCAGGTCGGGATTTGTTTTTTTCTCCATCAGGACAACAGGTTTATGAGATATCCAATGCATCCGACGGGTTTGTAGCTTAGCCCCACAAGCAACATCCGCTGCGGAATGTAATGCTCAGTTAATCTTATCCCACTGGTCATCTGTGCCATCACGCTGAGGTGCGCTTAGCTCTGACTAATAGTATTTACAAACTCCTGGGTCCGACAGAAGATGATAAGCTTAGCGAGTTTGCTGGTTTTGTCGGTGAACAATAAGTTGGAGCGAGAAGTGCATTAAAACTATTGCGTGGTCAGACTCAACGTAGGTGGTCCAATTGGTCCTGCAATTTTACACTGAACCACGCAAACGGTAGTTTACAGTTATGTGGTCAATTTGAGTTAGCGTACCAGTTCAACTAGAGTGCCACGTTGCCGTCCGTCGAGAGCCGCGTCAGAAGTTGGTACTGGATGGAAACAGATGATGGTCTGGGCAGAACTGAAGAAGCCGATCGCCGTTATCTGGCCGTTGGCGGAGCAGAGCACACAGCTATCACCTAGGCAAAGTTCTGATGCGCTCAGTTTTATCATCCTTTTGTCTACCAAAACCGCGATCAGAAGGAACATGCGCTGATATGATGAACAGACACCTTTTGGTGTTGCTTTCCTTGCGGACGCTGGGTGGAACCTAGTTGACTTACCTGCGTCAGAGTCCTTATGTTGAAGGCCCCCAGATTCAGTGATTGACGAGGTTTCAGAATGTCTGAGCAGTAACACACTTATCACTACCCGCCCCGCTTGATGCAATGGGCAGGGTGGTCCTGAATATCCTGCGTGACGGCAGATGCAGTATGGAATTCTGTATAGTTTTTGTATGTGATTTGCAAACTCTTGTTTCAAGTGGACAGCTACGGTCAGATGATGTTGTTTTGGTGAGTGGTGGCGAGCTGGAAATGTTGGTGAGAACCCACCAACACCAACACCCGTAACCCGAGCCACAATCATTCTCCATCTTTCTCAACTGTCAGATGATATTAGGCCTCTTTTTGAACTGATCAGGTATCGAAGCGTAAGGTATCTGGCTCGAATGGGTTGTCCTCATCAGCTTTTAAGGATAGACGTTCAGCCTTGTTCTTGGAATCAACGAAACTCATGGGTTTATTATGGGAAATCCAACAGATTCCAGTTGACCTGTGTAAATAGATCATTTCACGGATTTAAAAACGAGACAGATCCTCTTGTGTGAACCACAGTCGAATTGGTTTTATCAGTGTTGCCTTCAAGCCTCCGTGCGTCGTAAACAGTACACCTCGTGCATCTACTCAATCGCTTCTTCACCTGAATCTATTACTTCAACCTGGTACTGTTCCCAGCTTTCTAGTTCTCCCGTCTACTCCGTGAAGCAAATGGTCTGCCAAAATACAGCAACAAAAACCACCACACAAGCTGGCAGGATTATTAATTAAAGAATGAAGACCATCCAATCAAACAGACAACAACAACAACAACTGGTTATGGCTTTTTTGACGCGTATCAGATAACCAGTCCGTAGGCGGAATATTCAACCGTACTCATGATCTTGTTGTCACAAGTGGCTCTTTTGTAACTACTCAATTCCTTATGCAAAACATATTCCACTTATCGGATCAACATATGAGAATGGCTCATTATATATAAGCAAGAGACAGCTCGTGCTTGTTCCTAGGAGTTGCTGTTCAATTGGGCACCGCTCAAGAAGAGTAGAAATGTGATAACAGATGAGGGCAATCTAAACAACACTTACAACTGAAAAAAGCTGCATTCAGAACTGACCACTACCAGGTACCCAAAATTGGAACACTTGATAAATTCCAGTGATTTTTTTTGAAGGCGCTGAGGAAATAAAAAAAAGAAATCATTGAGACAGACGTTTCAAAGATTTGATCCTCTCTTACCGTTGGCTGAATCTGATCCAGCTGTGTCCACAGATTGGCTAAAAGGGGATCGCCCTGACCCGGACCCAGATTTCCGCCGGACGACATTTGTCGGGCGGAATTTAGTCGATCTTCCACCGACGCTTTTGTTTGGCTGTTCTCAAATGTCATTGTTCCGACCGGGTTGGTTGATTACACCGCGTGGAGTAATGTAAAAAAAAGTGATGGCTGCAAATCAGGAAAGGCGTGTCTTTAGGATAGCCTCAACCCAACAGGATAACTAGCGGAAGAGAAAAGATGAGACAAAATCTACAAAAAAAGAACAGCTGAGAGATGTGAATGTCGCTGGGTCTTGACAGAGACATACAAAAACGATTCGATTCCCTACACACACACACACACACACACACACACACCGTCCGATTGCCCCACCACTTGTTGACTCACTGATCGAATCAACGACCGTAACGGATCCGGTCTAACATCTTGACGAATATGCGAAAACTCAACTGCATAGGCCATTGGTTCGGCATGCCCTGTCACACATCAAAACCGCGTGTATTTCGTTACCTACTTGTGAGTAGTGTCAAAAGAAGGAACGAAACAAATCGCTGACAGCAAACGAAACAGACATCAGATATCACCGTGCGCAGGGGGGGAAGGGCGAGTAAACAAATAAAATACTTCATCATCTCGAATGGTCATTATAACCTGATGTATCTATCTCTGACAGAGAGCAACCAGTGAAATTCGACTCAAGGTAATTTCCTTGGCTTAGACTCAATCTGTCGCAATACAAGGTATTACCAAAAGTTTCGCTTTGTAACCACCAGATAAATGGACTACTGAAAAGAAAATCGGAATTTTACGGAGATAATCCACATTCAATAACCTAAAAGCTGACTACCACATAAGACTTGGTGATTTGATCATGTAACAGATAAAAACTACATGGCATGATTGTGCTCTATTCTCAACTAAAAATCTGTGCCAGATCAATAGCTTCAGAACTGGGTTTTCTTCGCATACAAAAGAAAAGAAAAAGTGGAAATGTATGATATCCAGGGATAAGACGGTAACAGTGAATAAACAAAAATGGAAGGATTAGAGCTTTAGATTTTTTTTATTTTTTGATGAAATTGCATTCGGAACATATTCCGAAGTAGCTTAGCCACCATCGTATGCGAAATCGGAGCCAAAACTTGTATGAAAATGATTATAAATATCAGTGAGCACAGTCAAGTTTCTGGATGCGTTCACGGTCCCAACATTCATCCTCGATTTCAAATCGGTCGGGGTTTGATTTTCGATTCGCGTATGTCTCAGCCCAGTCCCATAATCGATGTAACAATCCCGTAGTTAACAGTGTACGAAACCAGGGAGTGAGACTGTTCAAGGACCACGTATGAGGAAGAGCAGTGGGAGTGGAATCTTTGGATCGAACAAGTGCATCTAATTCCGATCGACTGACCCAACGAGTGGCACTCACTTCATCCGGATTGCACTGAATCATGTGCGGGTTCTGTTTTATGTCTGGAATAAGTGGGAACGGAATCGGAAGACATGATGATGATGTTGATGATGATGCGTGCGAAAATTGAATGAAACAAACTTTCGGCACCTTCAATGAGGAACAAGATGTGGGCGTCTAGGAAGAAGCACAGATTGAAGAGAACCAGCGCTTATGCACAACAAACCACGCACACACAGACAAAATTAACTTTGTTTGACATCGCCGAAAATATCACTGTTGGATCCAATAATGTATTGAGTTCTCAAATGGAGCAGACTGTTAAACAGGTGCTCAACACAGGTCGATCATCAGAACTCAACTTTTGGGGGGGGGGGATAAAAGAGATTTTTATACAGTGACTGAGAAGTTCTAAAAAGCACCAATCACTGATTACAATAACGACATATTGTTTCGGAAGTATGATGGATCAAGAAGTGGCCAAACTTTCGTATCTGATAAGATAAGATTTTGGGAATTTTAAATTAACACTTGAAGTATCTAGACAGTACTATGTACCAGTTCGCGAGAGAATTTTGTACCAAAACGGCTTTCGGCTCATTCGACCGGCAATTGTTCTCTTGTGCTGTGCCTTTCCTTGAATGGTGTATCGAAAAGTTTATTTCACTTTCTAGGATTAGCCGAAGCCCAGTTTGACCGCAAACAGTTCCCCATCTCCTTAAAGCTGGTGAACAATTTTTCATGAGAGAGCTTGCCAGACAGTTTTCGAAGATATAGACAGGACCAACTGATTCACCTATTTACAATGTTTGTTTCAACCATAGGGCCTTTATGCAGTCTGACGCCAACAGGGTCAATGGTGTTAGTGTCCGTTTTTATTTTAATGCAGCTCCATTCAAGAGGGACCTCGATTACCTAAAATTCTACGTTTAAATGTGCATAAATGTCTCAAGTTGGCAAGTGCCAACCGAGCCTTTAGTATGTTCGCCGACACTTCATCCGTTATGTGTCCCCCAGGTGAGATATAGCTGCCCAGAAATCAAACTGTATCTACTTTCTCTACTAATTCTCCAGTCAGGGTGAGGTTGAGGGCTGGACCAACCCAACGTTGAAGGTGCAAAACGCATACCGAACATGGCTACACCAGCACTCAAACTATCCAGAAAAGCTTACAACCTACCTGGATCTCCACTTAGTAGCACAATGTCGGCTGCACATTGCAGATCAGACAGTCTGCCATCTGGGATTAAATCGATACTGCTGTCCCTGCACGAGGATAGGGCTGTTTCAAGAATTAAATCTATAACAAAGTTAAATAGAAATGGAGAAAGAGGGCAACCCTGACGAACACCACTTTCCGTGGTGAGCTCGTGTGAAAAAGTGCCATAAGCCCAGACTCAGCTTCGGCTATTATTGTACAGGGATTGTATTATCGAAATAAACTTCACGGGCACACCTTTTAGAGCGAGGCTGCGCCAGAGTTTGGAGCGGTCGACTGAGTCGAAAGCCTCTTTCAGATCGAGGAAGATAGAAATGGTGGGTCTACGAAAGGAGTTTCTTTGTTCTAGGATTTGACCAAGAGTGAAGATGTGGTCGATACAACCTCGACTAGGTCTAAAACCGGCTTGATTCTCACGTGTGCACTCTTCATAACCGTTGGCGGAGGTGTGAGTAGGGAGATCTCTGAACGCGTATTTGAAGCAAGCTTGTCTTTCGCTAATCTACGACATCTCTGGCGCCGGCACGACAACCGTTTACCTGAAAGGCGTGTGTATAGGGCAACGGTACGTGTCATGCTACTCTACGAAACTTCGCCTCTACGAGTAGATCATGTTCAACGATCATCCCTCTGTGACAACTGTCTGCGCAACATCGCCCGTGTATGTTGGGAGCATGATGTGAGCAAATATGAGGTTAGACGGTGTATTAGGGTCAGATAGTTTTCCGTTGAGCAAAACCGTTTAATTGTACCGTCTAAGATGGCTGGGGCACGTCGTACGGATGCCTGAACAAACGTTTTTCGCACTGTGCGTTAATCGCAGACCTTGAGCCACACTGGAAGAAACAGTGAGGTGGAAAAGCTACTACATTCGGATCTGATTTTCATCGAGGCACTCGGATTCCAAGCTGGGGCTCCAAGGATTCAGATTGTTGTCGGCTGAAGATAATACGGGATATGGCAGTGAATCGAAGTCCGTGGTGTGAATGCATCCTTTTATGTCTGCAATCCCATAGATAAAAGGACAGAAAAAATTCAAAATTGTGTGCAGTAAACAAACAACAGTCTTTTAATATCACCCATTAAAAATTGATGGTTTTTGTTGGCGGTTTTATTCTGCTACTCTAAGGTTTTTTCAACGCACGGTTATTTTGGTCCGCATCTGTAAAGATTGGTGTTAAACATATAATATATAGTTCTCCATCGAGTGCACTTTGAAAAAAGATGTTCGTTTTTTCTGTTCTATTTCACCGCAAATGACTTTGTTCTCATTTTAGGATAGTGGCATCGACCTTCTCTCGAGCGACAGGCTGTCTCATTTGTCGTACGAAGGAAGAACCGCCAAGTGAAGATCCCGGTAAGGTACAAGGTTCACTGACCAGTTTAAGTGCTAGTATACCTATATTTTACATGTTTTGTACCTTCAACGTGCAAAATACAGCTGAAGTGCTCCACCTTTTACTTTCCCTCAAAAAGTAACAATGGAGAGAGAGAGAGAGTAAAAGAATTCTGCTACTTGGGCAGTTACATATCACACCTGGGGGAGGTATCGCGAATGAAGTGTTAGGGCGCATACGTAGGGCTCTGTTGGTATTTGCAATTAGAGGTATTTATGATGCCACCAATATATTTGTGTTTATCCGTGAGGGTTAAATATATGCTGTAACCAAATGGCCACAGAAGAAGTACGGCACAAAAACAGGGACGGTCCCGGAGAAGCATAAGAACAGACTGTTTTGTTGTTGTTGTTGTTGCTGTTGTTGTTGTTGTTGCTGTTGTTGTTGTTGTTGTTGCTGCTGCTGCTGCTGCTGTTGTTGTTGTTGTTGTTGTTGTTGTTGTTGTTGTTGTTGTTGTTGTTGTTGTTGTTGTTTTTGTTGTTGTTGTTGTTGTTGTTGTTGTTGTTGTTGTTGTTGTTGTTGTTGTTGTTGTTGTTCGAACATCGCTGTATGTAGGACTCTGCACCAGTCTAATGGCATGGTGGCCGCGACCTAAGGCGAATGCTTGATCCTTACAAGTTACGGTACCTCTTAAAGCCTCGGTATGGTCGAGAGTGGGTATCTTGAGTTGTGAGTGCTTACAATTCCCTTGCACCAAACGAAATGCTCCTATAAAACCCAGCGTTTGAAATAACCTTTGATGAGGAGGCCCCTACTCATATTGCGCTCAACAGCAAATAATGGACCGATTCCTCAGGTAAAAACATTAAAATACGCGGGTTGATTGGCACAGTATGGACTCGGACTACTTACTTTAAGGGGGATGGCTCCTGGGAGAGGACAAGCTGGCTTCATGAATATTTCATGAAATTTCTTGAGGATTAGGTACAGGAAACGACCTCAGGGTCACCCGGCTTTAGGTCCAGGTGGTATCTCTGGCCTTTGCACATCCAACTTCAAGGCAACAGGAGGGTAGCGCATGATTGCCGATGACCATCCGGAGGGAGGTTATACGCCATTGACAGTTTCTAGCTGAACACGGGTCCATGCAGCCCTGGTCAGTACGGAGTCATTACCTTGACCGTTGAGTCGTGAAACCAATTTCGTCTACGCAACACGTACGTTAGGCACCGACTAGCCGGAAATAGAGCTTCCAGTTACCCTCAACCTAGTTTGGCCCGCCTGTTGAGTGGTTTACTGGGGTGTCGTTGTTGCATCCAGACAGCTTTTTGGAGCCACAGAGAGAGAGAGCCGAGTGCTTGTTGAAGACCAAAGAACTGAGGATGCCCCAAATATAATTATTATAATAATATACAGGTTACTGTGGCTGGGGCACGCGTTAAACATGTCATCTGGTGGGCTTCGACGGTGCGCGGGGTTCTTGGGGAAGCCGGTGAGTGGAGGAAAGTCCAGGATGGTACTCGGGTGTCGAAGTCGCGATCAAAACTTTCGGTCACAGGACGAAAATTCGGTTTTCCGGTAGAAGACCTTTATATAGAATAACCCAACTAATGGTTATAGATATTGAATGGTGTGGCCAAGTGTGGTAAACGATAGTGCATCAAGCCACTTTCTGGGTATATTAAGTTTACATGCATTCCGTATCGCGATTTCCGACATTGTTCTTAGATTTATACTTTTTCACTCACTCTTTTTTTCATTTTACTTCCTTTTATTGAATATGCAAAGATACAATTTTCAGGAAGGAGGAAGCGGCCAATCAAAGGGTTGTCATACAATACACAAATGGGGAAAGTCAGGCGGTGGTGGTGATGGGATTCGAACACTCGTCCTCCGGGGGTGATAATTGGTGACGTTACCACGGGGCCACCACCGCCCATTAGTCGGGCAAATCATTAGCTGAACGATAGCAAGCAAAAACCGTTGCACGACAACGCAAGGCTAGTGAAAACTGAGACAGATATTTGCCTCGAAAAAGACATACAAATGAGACATAAGTGTTTATGATAGAATGTAGTCGCTTTCTTTCTATTAAGCATACCTGTGTGATGAACAGCAGATGAGGTGAACCACATACTCAAGGGGACCTGCTGTTTAGAGATGGAAACCGGTAAACTACGTCCCGAGACTTGGAGTGGCGAATCAAATAAGGGTCCCGCTAGGTTGGGTGTCCTATGGAACCGGACGACAGCAAAGCTGTTTATCACCAAATTCGGTTGGCGGTGGACCGGTTCAAACGTCGAATAACAGGGTCCAAAGCACACCCGTGAAGGTCACTAAACCACCGCTAGAAGAAAGCTATGCAAAAGTATATTATTTATGATTTGGTTTTTATTCGGTTCTACCACGGTACACTGCGGTCTGAATTAACACGATCCGTGTAGCCGAGAGGGATTTGCGCAGTTTGACAGTGCTAAGATCAATAAATAGCCCACAAAACCGAAAA